TGATAAAGTAATTTATGAGAATCGATACAATATCACAAAATAAAATATTCGGATACAATATTTTTTCATATTTTCTTACACCCCTAGACATTAAATACCGCAATCTTTACAATTTGCCTGAAAAGTAGATTGCAGACACCTTGGATCACAATCTTGATCAATCTTGGTACTTAGTACCAGTATCCTCTCAGTATCTCCAACAGTGATGGCTACAAGAAAGTTATGAGGAAAGGAATAAATCCATGTTTCATACGTGTAGCTGTTTGGAAGACACTGAGAGGTGAGGGACAGGTGGGTTGAAGGGACGGATGGTGGAGGACTGCACTAGTGTACTGGTTTACTGATGTTAGAATGACGTCTTCTGTCCACATTAACATGCATTGTTGTTTTAAATATAGAAATGCTGACTCATGTTTGCCCAGGTCTCCCTGCAGTCTAGAGATGTGACGTAGTTCTATTCAGCATCGTCATGCATTTAAAACAGGCAAATGCATATTTTTTGATCAGCTGCTGTTACAAATATGTGATTTGCCTTCCACCATGTGCTGTAGTTTTTGTGTCCTTAGTTCACCTTTTAGTCTTGTGTTGAACTGTCCTTAGTTGTCCTGAACAGCTGTCCTGTTGATTAGTTGATTTTTTTTCATGTTTCAGTTTGTTCTCAGTGCATTTGCTTCTGCCTTTAGCCATTGTAGCATTTGTACCCAGTTTATTTTGATGCTTTTTGTCTTTGTTCATTTACTTCACCTTTGTTGTCTTTCTGCTGTTCTTTCTTTGTTTCTCTCTTGTTTCCGGTCATGTTTCTTTCTTTCCTGTGCGTGATGCATGTTATCAACATGTTGGATGGACCAGTGTGTAAGTGTCACCATCATTCATTTTACCCTTACAGCTGATCCTGGCTGACACGAACAATTAATAAAAACATCTCCTGGTTAATGTAACCAGGATGTGTTAATCTTGTTGTGGGGTGTGTTTCTCTGTCTGTGTGTATACACTATATGTTTGCCTAACCCTGATCCATACTGTACCATGGAAGGCCTTCTCCCAGAACCTGTACATTCAGTCACTCTGCGGCTCAACGTTTTTTGTTTTTTTTCTATGTTGACAATACGGACTGATAGGAAATCTTCTTAGCAACTTATCAAGTCCTGAACAAGAAAGGTCTCTTAAGGTTAAGAGAAGTGAATACTTGGTATTATAATATAACCGATACCTCCTACCTCACTGTGCATACACCAAAGGTTTTTCAGGCTTCTTTATGACTTCCTGTTAGCCTCCAGCACACATGAATGCATGACATTAATTTACTGATACTGATCTGCAAGACTTCAAACTTTACTGGACCTAATGGCTTAACTACTGATAAGACAGAATCACTGAGAATGTTTGTGACACTTGGGGGGAGTATTTTTGGGACAATTTTTTGGGGGGGAATTGTGGGTGTGGAACTTTTTTTTTCTCTTTATACCATTTATTCTATAACACTGAAAGATCTTATGAGAAAACTAGTTATAATGGAAAAAGGTCAATTTACTCAGCTCAGCTCAAGGTAAACCAGTCATGAAATCATGAAAATATAAAAGAGAAGGTATGCAAGGGCCTAGGTAGAAAGGCAGAAAAGGGAAGCATGGTTTCAACTCAGAACATGTAATGAAGAATAGTCTCTACATACTTTTTAGTTAATAAAAAGTTAATAACATTATTTATGTATTTAATTATTTTTTTCTTATTTTTTGTTGTGCCATCCATCCCAACCTCCTCCGTATAAGGAGTGTCACTTTTGTTCTGGAAGGACAGTCTTGAAATCAAAGATGGTGCAGGAGGTCCATATGGAATGAAGCTAAGCAGCACTCAGTGCTCTTTTACAATAATACAACCAAATATAGTTTGAGTCTCCTTTATGTGTAGCTTCTGGCCACTTGGGTTTTTACATGGTTTGTATTGACCTCAGTGAAAGAGCAATTCATGTTGGGTTTCTGTTTTTTCTACCTGCCTGTTTCTTGAGCCACCGAATGACTGAATTCATGGTTTACACTGTATCTGTGTGTGTACGAAAGTGACAATGAATATATATCTACCTCCCCCTGCAAGTGTGCTTCTCTCAGTCCTGACACATCCTGTTTGATGGGTGCTGACTGAGCCAGTGACTGAGCTCCATCATCACCACAGAACGGCATCCTGTTTCACACTGTTAAGGATTGATGCTAAAGAGCTTCATTCTGTCCAGATTAGTGCTGCCATCCAAAAACACTGGCAGCTGGACAGAGGGGAACACACTTGTATGAATACTGTATGTGGAATAATCTAATCTATAATCCACACTTTCACTTTAATAAACAAACGGGCTGCACAGTAGAGCTAACAAATCATTATGTGATTATGTTGATTGCATTGTTTATTTGAGCAAAAAACTTCTAACAGGCCCTTGCTGCATTCAGTCTCTCTGCTGTGTCCTAAAA